ATGGACAGGTTCAATCAAACCGAGCCTGGAACATTTTCATTTCTATAATATGTAACGCGGTAACGCCAAATATATATTTTGCACAAAAGTAGTTGCCATGTAACTCAAAAGCCTATCTACATAACTTGTTAGTAGAAATAGTTACTAACATTCATAATTGTTAAGGGCTTAAACTGACCAATGGAAATTCTGTTTTATTCAGTTCATCATTGTGTATTTCACATAGCTCAAATCTTTTCCAGTTTTTTAAAAAGGCCCATAGTGCCCAATAAAATGAGTATAGCTTATTTCTCGTTAATATCCTGTTAAAGTTTCCAGAAAGTTACACATTGGCCATTAACCTGAACCATCTTTAGCTTCTATTGCATTTTGGAAATCAATACATATATAGTGATTTAGTATTTTGTATTGAAGTCATAATACTTATTTGTTTACATTTTACTACTTTTAAGTTAATTGAACTCACAATCCGCGCTACGTTCGTCTGTTATTAAGCAGCTATCATGCTTTTAAACCATTATTTAAACATTATATAATTTATGTTTCCCCTTTCATAAGAATATAAAAATCTTTTCAGCGGACTACTTGGTCTTTAAAGAATGAAATGTTATGCCACGTTTTAGTACACATGCATTTGAAAATTTGCAATCAGTTTGTTATATTGAAACAAACTGTCAGGACTATAAACTAAAACCTTACTGTTTTTAAAGTTTGTGTATTGGTGTTGCAAAGCAATTCTTTAAAGCATATGGGATTTTAATACGAAAATATAAAACAACGTGACACTAGTAGTATAGAATCAGGTCAGACTGTACGTTAAAAATGACCACTTTCGATTCCATTTAATTAAGGGTTAATGTTTACATCTTTAGTTGTGTTTTATACATTCAACATTTGCCTTGTTTGTTAAAAATGACCACTTTCGATTCCATTTAATTAAGGGTTAATATTTACTTATATTCTCAAAATTTGCCTTTTATTTTCTTCCTTTAATTATATTTGCGTCTTTCCGCCGCCTAGCAAAATGAGAACATCGAATTTGTTATTAGCAATACAGTACGGCAAATATATAGCGACTTCAATCACGAACTTTTTCTGGTTACGGAAGTTGAAATAATTAAGTCCGGTAACGAAGTTGATAGTTTGTACTTTCTTTTCTGTGTTCGTTTGCAACATCGCGGGGATCAAATTAAATCCATAACGATACGCGTTCTTTTAACCTGAGAAATGACCCTTTTTAGACTGGTCCGACCAGAGTAACCGAATGACATAATATACGTCCAAACAAAGACAGCTCAGACAAAAAAAAAGATATCACCGAAGATGATCGAAATCGCCTATGCTTTTTATATGGTGAGTGAAATGCGTTTAAAACTACTAAAATATTGAACGAGACGCTTAATTGCACAACTTCCACATAAACTAAATCAAGCCAGTATTCACAATATTGTTTAATGAATTGATTTATCCCTTGGATCAAATGCCTTTGATAGGTATTTCATTGAAGGTCCATATTTAACAACGATCATTGTGATGTGTTGAAGTGATTGGCGGTGGTCAAACATTGTTAGCACTTTGCCGTTTATTGAAATCTGCAAAAGAAGAGCGTGTTTTCTGTTTATTTGTTCCCTTGGCAATAAGACATTTTATGAAATATATGTAACATAATACATTCGTGGTTCGAGAACGAATACAAACCACATATAGAATAGAAACATATTTAAATGCTCCGTCAGCGATGCCGCATAATATAATAAAATAACAGTAAGTTAACGTATGCAAACCTTATAACAAAGTCCATTCAATGCTGCATAACATAATAACATTATTGTTAAGAAATAGTTAACGTGTGCAAACCACATTAAAACAAAGTGATAATATTTCTACTGTGCTAATTAAACAGGGTCTTACCTTCCAGTGTAACTCAACTACCTCAAAAATGATTGTGTATGTTTTGAAGTCGTGAAAAGGATATGCAGGTTTGACCACCTCACCATAATGACTGTTACGTTTATCATTCAAAGACAGCTGTACTGAATCGTCGTCGAATATTAGGACGTTTATCTTTGTTGTGTTTTTGAATGTTATATATAACCTAAAGTATTAAAAAAATATCAATAGCATTTTCGTAAAATGCATGTGATTTATTTAAAAACGTGATTAATAACCTGTATATAATTAAAATGGTAGGTAGAAGTTTATTGTGACGATTGTTATATGTCGAGGATAAATATTTCATAATGGATTAAGAATATTTGGCTTTTCAAGAAACCATCTTTAACAGTAACAACTGAAAAGAAATAAAATGTACCAAAACTGTGCCGTACGTTCTATCTTTTTGATATGATATTCTATTTATTAAAAAAATAAATGTAAACGTTAAAGAAAAACACTTCATAGTATTGTAAAACTTACGTGTCTGTGCTCATCTTCCGAAACACAAAATTGAATTTGTCTCCAATTTTAACTTCTGAGTAAATGTAGTATGAAACTTTCTCTTTGTAGGGGTTCTGAAATAGGATATGTTTAATTCTTTATTATGCTCCTTTAATACCTTTTTATATTAAACTTTTAAAAAAGACTGAAATACAAAGGGTTTACGCTGTTTTTAGATATACTTTGCTTGAGAAATAAACAAATATCTAATGTATCTTTTTTGGGATAAAATTGCGAAAACTATGTTTCAAAGAAGATTAATACTTCTCTCGATTTAACCTGAATTATTTTACTTACCGGTATCTCATACACTCTATCATATACAGATTTTTCATAGTACTCGTATCCTTCTTCGAAAAAACTCGAATAGTTTGACAAGGGACGAGCAAGCTGTTCACAGAGTTCTGTACCTGCAGCAATTCTAACGAAAGATTTATCTGATGTTTTCATTAGCTTGAACGCGCATTCTATCATATTTTCTGATGGTACACCCGCGGTAACATCTTGAACCTTTAAAACAATGGCTGCAGTATACTTAAAGCATTCCACGAAGGAAACTGCAGACAAGAAATATATCCCGAGTCGCAAAACATCCATTACTAGCCCATTACATAGTTCTTGAAAGAATAATTCTACTCGTATATTTCTCGCTTTATGAAAGGCTTGCAGATGATTAAAATATGTTGAAATCATATTCAGCCAATCATTTTCATTGAATATTTTTGATGATGACGATATAAAATAAGCTTTTGTCCTTTTATAAAGAACTATTCCTGCTGTGACTTTAAGTGCGTGTCGTCCATAGAGGTTGTCAATCATATGCTAAGTAGTGGTTTCCTGCATTATTGCAATAATTCATCGCTACAAAGACAAAATATTTTACTGTCAGGTTTTTTATCTAAATTTTTTAATTTGAATGTTAAAATCATTTCCACTTTATAAGCAATCAATATTTGAGCCGCGTCATGACAAAACAAACATAGTGCGTTTGCGACCAGCATGGATCCAGACCAGCCTGCACATCCGCGCAGTCTGATCAGGATCCATGCCGTTCGCTATCATTTTCTCTTCTTGTTATAGGGTTTGTAAGCGAACAGTATGGATCCTGATCAGACTGCGCGGATGCGCAGGCTGGTCTGAATCCATGCTGGTCGCAAACGCACTATGTTGGTTTTGTCATGACGCGGCTCAGAAACAATGTTCAGTCGCGGTATAAATTTAATCAATGAGGGACTGTCACGACTCAAGTCAAACGAACTGAAATGATCAAAGGTAATTTTAATCGGTTTACTCTATTTTTGGAATAAAGTAAATACATTTCCTATAAATGTGACATTTAAAGCTGAAAACTCTGTCACTCGTGATTTTTCAAATGAATAACTTATGTTAAAAAGTATTGAGTAAAATATTTTCTACTGCGCAAATAAGGTGATTAAAGCAACAGCCATTGATATTAACAAGCCCGATAAACTGCGTGAAATATCTTCTTTTAAAATAAAACAATAACCAACTTAATGTTAAGAGCACATAGGCCTAAGAATTCTATATTTTTTTCAATTCTTTATAAATGTCAAACATGTTTTTGATAATGTTTTAATAAAGGATTGAATGCATGTTAGATGTTTTACAACGGAAAAAATAGTGCTAGATATACAGTCATGTGTCGTTAAGGTAGCAAAGTTTAACAAAGTAGTTACAAAATGCCAATTCACTATGATAAAAACAATCAACAGAAGTAAAGATGCAAATCGTAGTTCATGTATATAGCAAATGAGTATGTTTTCAGAAACTGTTATTACAAGGTACAAAAAATAAACCGTTTTTCTTTTCAAAAATAAAGATGATAACTTTTCTTAGGCATAATGGGCCATTGGGGAAAGAAAATCAGCGTTATATGGATCATTTCAGCATTTCTTTCTTTTTTTATCTTTTGAAAATTTGTTCGCTCTTAAGACTTCGTAATAGGATGCTCAAGTTTAAAATTATCTCAATTAAGAAAATATCATGGTAGGCGTTAATTACAATCCTCACAACAAATCTAGCGCATAATTTGCATTTAATAAGCTAGACGAAATTTAAAAAAAATGACTTTCCCAACTCAATACATCCATAATGTATATAATGTTTACATCAGTAAGCAGATCTACATTGAGCACAAAGATAAATATTACAAATTTGTCTTTTGACTTTGCACCTTATGAAAAAAATACTTTACACAAACTTGCAATTATACCGGTTTACTTTTTGTGCAGCGTGCGTGCATGCGCGCGCATGTGTATCCGTGTTTATGTATGTGTGTGTGCGTGCGTGCATGTGTGTGTGCGTGTGTGTGTGATTATTCAAAAGCCAGTTTATTAATTTTTTTTGATGATGAGTGACATCAACACCGTAAAGGTCATAAAGAGACTTTCAAGCTTTTGCTGGTTGGGATTATTTAAGACACAAGTGCGCTCGTATAAACCCTGAACTTCCATTAACTAGGTAGATAACTCTCTAATATGAAGGAGTCAGGATTTAAATTTATAACGATCAGAGGATTTGAAGATAGCGACCATAACCACTCAGCCACGGAGAACAAATCAAATACCAGAATGGAATTAACAACCAAGTTTGATGGCATCAATATCTTTTAAGATACTAGTATCTTGAAATAAAAGGAACAAATTTGTCACTGTGTCATGCGTCAATTTTTTTTTTATGTCACAGAATCATAATAAGTTTGGTCCAATCTTAATGTTGGTAAGTGAAACGGAATTTTAAAACACTAGTTCAGGATAAATGAAGTTTACATGAACTCTAAATGGTAACAAATGATCAGTGATTCGCATCTTTTCACATAAAATGATTATTGCGCCTCTCTCTGAAATGCTTCGTATATGGCACCATTACTAAATATTTTATGAACGCATCGAAAGTTTGAGTAATGATTTTAATGCGTGTCGGACATTTTTATGGTAATGGACCATTACTTCAGTCAAATAAAAGGAATAAAAAATTAAATTCATGATAAATCACCCAAAAAATTCATTATGAATTTTAAAAATTTTTTCAAGCCAATAGGGTTTTTAATCAAAAAAGAATAAAATTGACAAAAAAAAAAGACCCTCTATTTTGAATTATTAAAAACCCTTTCTACGTATTTATTTCCCGAGCAAACCATAAAATTTTTTTGTTGAAAAAGTCGATTGTCTTTGGGTACCCTTCTATTATTTTTCTAAACTCCCTCTGCATTGAAATCCAAAAAACAAGGGCATATAAAAAGTTATCAATGAATTAATGATTTTTGGGATTTGTATATTGAAAATTTAAAGTTCCTTACATATTTTTATTTTTTTTTTCTAGATAATGAATATTTTTTACAAAAATTTGACAAAAATTTAAAATTTATAGCCTTTTCCTATCGATAAACCATTCAAATTATAAAATGCAGCACTTGAATTTAGAGGGACGAACAGATTTTTCCCAAAAACGTCCTTTCTCGGGCGGGCGTTTCCCCAAAAAAACCCTTTTTTTGCTGTTTTTCATGAACGTTTTTTGCGCATTTTTTAAAAACATTTTGCAGATTATTGCATTTCCCTTTTGGGAACATTTTAAAAGCATTCAGAAAAAATTGGGCCTGAAGTACTCATTTTTTTTTAAAAATACAATAAGCTAAAGGGTTTTTCAATTCAGTGGTCCCCTTATCTAAATCCAAACAATTTTTGGAAATTTTTTTAAGAAAATATTTTAGCACAAATTAAAATGTTTACATTTTTTAAAGGGAAAATAACATACAGTATAATATAAGATTTTTATGGTCTAAATTTAAAAATAAAAAAAATTTAAAGTTTCAAAAATTCAAAAATTGATCTTCGAAGGGAATAAAGTTGAATAATAAGAGTAACGGGTGATAAAGTAAATTGCACGTCAATTCCTCTATTTGTTTGATTTAATGTTTTATTATAAAGTTTACACGAATTAGTTCGAAATATCCTTTGCCAAACTTAAGAAAAGGAATAGACCTACTTGTCCCTATGTGGCGTCCTGCTATGACCCTTTCATTGATTGTTTATGATCATTGTTTGTCTAAACTGTGCATCACATAAAAAAGTAAGAGGCCGTGTTCATTGTATCGTATTTTTATTCATTGTCTTCAAAAATATTGTAGTTCATTTTCAGTCACCTCTTTTTTTACAAATGTGCTTTCTTTTTTTTATTACTAGTACAGTCCCTGGGGACCTTTTGTGGTGCAAAAAAAGGGCCAGGATAAATGTTATACCAAAATGTAAAGCTAAATGTTTTGGGAAGTTTTACAAAAAATTGGGTAGAGCATGTCAAATCATGGTACGTTTTTGGAGAAAATCCAAGGATGGCCACCAAGATGGCCGGGGCCAAAATTAGAAAAATTTGGCTTAAGAAAAAGAATTTTATTATGATAAAATTAGTTTCTTTTTTTTATTCCATTTTTGGTACAGGTTTGATGTTTTAAAACTTCACATCCTGTTGGAAAAAATATGAAAAAGGGTCCTTTTTCCATTTTTTTATAGAATACTCTTTGTTTTCCACTTAGAGAAATTTTGCTAAAAAAGCATGAAAAAGTCTCAAAAATCGTCTTTGGGGCTGGCCATTTTTTCCCCTTTCAGTCCGAGGCATAGTGGGTGAAAATATTTTTACCTTATATTACAAAGACCTGATCAACAACTTACTAATTGTACCTTTATTTTCATTTTTATTGTGTAAGAATGTGAATTCTGACATTCCTAAAGTGGGTGGGGTACACAAAAAGTGAGTCCCAATTGCTAGCGAATTTATATATAACGATTATTTAGACTAAGAATAACCAACAATATTGCATTTTGAAATGTTTTTTAAGCCTTTAATTTTTTAAAGGTAGATTTACATTCTACCAACAACATTAATTGCTTCTGTTGCCATGGCAACAAAGTGGTAAAATGAGAGAAACCCGGAAACGTATGAGGCTTTCAGTTTTATCATTTCAAGCATGTTGTAGAAGTTAATGTCATGATTATGCATTACAGAATTCAGAGTTGGATACATTTGAAAAAAAAAAATCATTTCAAATTTCGCTAACATTACTTTCCATGAAAAAACACCAAACTTTTGAATTAAAACATCGATAACATTTTGGCTGAACAGTTTACTGGTAACAATAAAAACGCTTTAAACTTTTAGAGGCAAAAGATAATAATGAAAATCTACTCAGAGTTTATATTGAAAAATAAAAATTTATGCTTGATGTTTTGGCCCGATTTTGTGAAAAAAGCTTTTCAACATTCTTCATTTATTGGTCATTAAATAATGATAATAATAAATAACAAATAAAGCAAAAAATTAAATCAACAGATCAAATGTGGATAAGAAAAGGAAGAGACAATATGTTCAAATATGTTGTAATGAAAGAACCGGGTCTTCAGATAATGTGCCATTGGGATGCATCTGAAAAAATCTCATCTCAATGCAATACAAGCCCAGCTGATAAATATTTTTAAAAATGGAGAAACATGGATAAAATCACACCATTTTGTGTTTTAAAATTTGACGCCTTCTTCTATTCTAAAAAAATATTAGAGCAGGCATAAATTATTAAATCTTGCATAGATTGTTCTTGCTACGGCAAAACAAATAGGGCCATATTCCACAGTTGCCTAAAAAATTCTTTATAAATTTTTTTGTGACCTACAGGTCAGGACCACCTAATGCTTTGCTATACGGTCAGTATGTCTAAAAT